AGGAGAAATATAATGGGACCTAACACAGAACCCTGAGGGACACCCCAACTAATATCTAAAACTTGAGAATCCTGAGACGCTCTTACCATTTGCTTACGTTCTGAAAGATAGATTTTACCCAACTCAGCGCTCCGTTTTTGATCCCGTAAACTCGTAATGACAGTTAAGTTGTCATAAAAATCACCAAGAACGGCCATTTTCATTCATTTCTTTTTTACCTAATCACGTGGGATAACGGTTATTGTTGAATTATGATTAAATCCTATTATATTTCGTTTAAAATTTATTTCTTTTTTCTCTAAGAATATATTTATATGCAGTAAAAAACCCAATAACAAATCGTTCATCGAACCGTGTTTAGCGGTTTAAATATCAAAAGTCATTTCGTAGAGGCAGACTAGCGCTTTATATAACTATTTCATTAAGCGTATCCTTGTAACTTTCTGTTTTATTATTAGTTGGTGATAGTCAGGTTGGATCAGTTCGAAATGGATTGTTCACTGTAAGTTTTTATTTTCTGTAACAACTTTATCTCTAACACACGACAATATGTATATGTATGTTTGTTGGAACATATCCTTTTTATAAATAAATGATCAAGAGCTTTTGTTATTTTTAATATAAGGTAAATGATGAGAATTATTACATACAGTGAATGAACATTTCATAATATTTAACAACCAAAATATATAGGTATTCAAATTTGTATTACATTAGCAAACAGTATTGTGAAAGTTAGTAGTAAGAAGACCGTGATATACCTGGATGTTGAGATACAAGAAAACTAAGTTTTTTTTTAAAAATATTCTCGTGTAACATAACTCATTTTTGTAACCTAACTTTCTACACTAGTTAAATATTCTTGTCGACAGTTTTACAAAATAAATGTTTGTTGCAGGTCAGAATGTAAAAAAACTATTATTAACAAAAGATTCTAAATATTAATTTTTACGATTGTGACATTTAGGATATTTGATGAACCGCCCATGTAACTGGAATATAATAAAATACATTTCTTTTGTAAAAATCTTCCAAGTTAATAAAAGAGAAAAAGTTACTAGAGAACTAAAAACAACAGAAGGCATTGTCATACTTAAAAATTTGATAAATGAATCATTTTGACCGAAGCAGGTACTAAATATATGGAAGATTGCTAATGGTTTTGTTAAACTTGTACGGTATTTTCTTTATTTTTCATATTCTTCTGCGTTTTTAGATGTCGGATTTGGTCCCTTTCTCTTCCTGGACCCATTTCTTCCACTCTTTTCTGTTCCTGGCTAGTGTTTTTATCTGTATGAAAGTTTTCCCCTTTTTAAATACCTTCACTCTGGTCAATCCTTTTCCTCTTGAGCCTTCGCTGTTGCTTTTTTCTTCTGCTTTCGTTTTTACTAGGTGATCATACCTGTTTATTTTTTATCTTTGTTATGATTGGTTCCTGTTTAGTTATTATTCTTATATCCTTATTTCTTACAATGTCCACTTTGGTTTTCCTCCCTATATTTCCTAAATGTTTCATTCATTCTTTACCATATTTTAAGATTATTAAATTGGATGAATTCGTAATATTGCAGGAAGAAGTTATAAATTTCGTATTTTTAAAATTCAGGAATTCCAATTCATTAAACCTATTTATAATATTTTTAATATCTATTTCAGCAAAATTTTAAACTACTTTTCAATTCCCATCAACGTCAAAGGCAAAAGAAGCGATCTTTCCACCGATAGGAAAATTTAACACTCCATTTATATAGATTACAAACGGTACCTTGAAGAACTTCAAGTTTTACAAAAATTTTTCTAAAAAAATATCTACTAAAATAACTACTAAAATATCTAAATATCTATTAAAATATTTATTAAAATATCTATTAAAATATCTATTAAAATATCTATTAAAATATCTATTAAAATATCTATCGAAATATCTATCGAAATATCTATCGAAATATCTATCGAAATATCTATCGAAATATCTATCGAAATATCTATCGAAATATCTATCGAAATATCTATCGAAATATCTATCGAAATATCTATCGAAATATCTATCGAAATATCTATCGAAATATCTATCGAAATATCTATCGAAATATCTATCGAAATATCTATCGAAATATCTATCGAAATATCTATCGAAATATCTATCGAAATATCTATCGAAATATCTATCGAAATATCTATCGAAATATCTATCGAAATATCTATCGAAATATCTATCGAAATATCTATCGAAATATCTATCGAAATATCTATCGAAATATCTATCGAAATATCTATCGAAATATCTATCGAAATATCTATCGAAATATCTATCGAAATATCTATCGAAATATCTATCGAAATATCTATCGAAATATCTATCGAAATATCTATCGAAATATCTATCGAAATATCTATCGAAATATCTATCGAAATATCTATCGAAATATCTATCGAAATATCTATCGAAATATCTATCGAAATATCTATCGAAATATCTATCTATCGAAATATCTATCTATCGAAATATCTATCGAAATATCTATCGAAATATCTATCTATCGAAATATCTATCGAAATATCTATCGAAATATCTATCGAAATATCTATCTATCGAAATATCTATCGAAATATCTATCGAAATATCTATCGAAATATCTATCTATCGAAATATCTATCGAAATATCTATCGAAATATCTATCTATCGAAATATCTATCGAAATATCTATCGAAATATCTATCGAAATATCTATCGAAATATCTATCGAAATATCTATCGAAATATCTATCGAAATATCTATCGAAATATCTATCGAAATATCTATCGAAATATCTATCGAAATATCTATCGAAATATCTATCGAAATATCTATCGAAATATCTATCGAAATATCTATCGAAATATCTATCAAAATATCTATCGAAATATCTATCGAAATATCTATCGAAATATCTATCGAAATATCTATCGAAATATCTATCGAAATATCTATCGAAATATCTATCGAAATATCTATCGAAATATCTATCGAAATATCTATCGAAATATCTATCGAAATATCTATCGAAATATCTATCGAAATATCTATCGAAATATCTATCGAAATATCTATCGAAATATCTATCGAAATATCTATCGAAATATCTATCGAAATATCTATCGAAATATCTATCGAAATATCTATCGAAATATCTATCGAAATATCTATCGAAATATCTATCGAAATATCTATCGAAATATCTATCGAAATATCTATCGAAATATCTATCGAAATATCTATCGAAATATCTATCGAAATATCTATCGAAATATCTATCGAAATATCTATCGAAATATCTATCGAAATATCTATCGAAATATCTATCGAAATATCTATCGAAATATCTATCGAAATATCTATCGAAATATCTATCGAAATATCTATCGAAATATCTATCGAAATATCTATCGAAATATCTATCGAAATATCTATCGAAATATCTATCGAAATATCTATCGAAATATCTATCGAAATATCTATCGAAATATCTATCGAAATATCTATCGAAATATCTATCGAAATATCTATCGAAATATCTATCGAAATATCTATCGAAATATCTATCGAAATATCTATCGAAATATCTATCGAAATATCTATCGAAATATCTATCGAAATATCTATCGAAATATCTATCGAAATATCTATCGAAATATCTATCGAAATATCTATCGAAATATCTATCGAAATATCTATCGAAATATCTATCGAAATATCTATCGAAATATCTATCGAAATATCTATCGAAATATCTATCGAAATATCTATCGAAATATCTATCGAAATATCTATCGAAATATCTATCGAAATATCTATCGAAATATCTATCGAAATATATATCGAAATATCTATCGAAATATCTATCGAAATATCTATCGAAATATCTATCGAAATATCTATCGAAATATCTATCGAAATATCTATCGAAATATCTATCGAAATATCTATCGAAATATCTATCGAAATATCTATCGAAATATCTATCGAAATAAATATATATCGAAATATCTATCGAAATATCTATCGAAATATCTATCGAAATATCTATCGAAATATCTATCGAAATATCTATCTATCGAAATATCTATCGAAATATCTATCGAAATATCCATCGAAATATCTATCGAAATATTTATCGAAATATCTATCTATCGAAATATCTACTGAATATTATCCTAACACTAGGACTATCATCTACGAGTTTATTTTAAAACATACTTTCATTTTTTATTTTCTATATACAGTCCATACGGACCGAATTTATTTCCACCATTTTTTCGATTATTTGCTATTACTTTCTGATATTGATACCCAAAAAACGTGATCCTGTTCAATTCCACAGAATTTACCCGATATCGGCCCCAAGCAACAGTATATAAATCTAATCTATACATTCTACACCTAAGCTCGATCCTATCCAATTTTCACCGTGTGGTGTAGCTTGAAGCGAAAAAATGTCGATTTAAATTACAGTTCAACGAAAAACTTGTTGAAATGTCGCGTTATTTATAAAAACGCGGAAAAAGTATGTTTTCCCGACGATGTTTGGAAAAATACTGGATTTGTACCTGTAAAAGCATTATTTTGTACTATGTAATAAACATAATTGGAAATTTATATGTAGGTAGTACTAAACTTTTCCAAATTTATAAAATATAATTTAAAGTGTAGAGACTTGAAGGTTTAAAATTGTATTCTTCTCGTTTTTCGTGTTATTTATGAAAATAAGGAAAAAAGTAAGTTTTCTGACCATGTTTGGGAAAAATACTGGATGTGTACCTGTAAAAATATAATTTTTTACTTTTTAATGTATACATAATAAACATAATTGGAAATTTATGTATAGATACCAAAAGATTCGGCTGTGGGACCACTAAACTTTCTAATATTCATTAATAATGTATTCAAAAAAATGTATAAAATATAATAAAAATTTAGTAAGTTTGAAATTTTAATGTTCTTATTTTGATTTATTGCAGGGCCGAACGAGAAAAAGTGAAAGTGAAATTCTTTCAGCAATCGAAACCGTTGGAAGTAGATCTACCGAATGAACCAATTTTTCCCGAAACGAATTTCCTAATGGCGTCACCGGTGACTATTAACGAAACGAATCACGTGGTCTACAACAGGACCGAAAGGTAATGTAATTTATTCCCCTAGCTATGTAGTGAAATAGTATATTACACACCGAGGTGGGAAGAGTTTCATTCCTGTCGAGAGATTAGTTAGATCAACGAGACGCGAAGCGTCGAGGTTAACTACGATCTCGAGACAGGAATGAAACTTCCTACCGAGGTTTGTATACTATTTTATTTACAACCATCATATTTCGATCAAAGTTAATAAATCTCTGTTTCGTTCTGAACATACCTAAAATATTACATTTAACGACAAATTACCAACCGCGCGGTTTTCTCAGAATAATCAAGTAAATATATTGTTACTGTGATTACGGGGTAAATAACTGTCACCAATATAAATAAATGTCAGATATTAAATTCGCGAATAATAAATATCAATAAGTAGTTTGGAGTGAGGGTAGCCATATGTGAGTAGTAGGGATTAAGTGTAAGGGTTAAAGAAAAGGTCCTTTATTTCTCACAAGTCACTTGTGAGAAATAAAGGACCTTTTCTTTAACCCTTACACTTAATAAGTAGTTTGTTGTATTTTAGTTCATTGTTGTTTTTTATTGTTTGCCATTAAATAGGTATTATAAAATTTGTCAAAAAAATGTGTTATTTTTTTAAATATAAAAAATATTCATCTAGAATAGATGAAATGAGGGCGGGAAGTAGAGGTGTGTAATGTAACACTTCCCAACCTTCAATGACGTTAGTTATGACATTACATATATAAGGTTGTCTAAATACAAATAAAACAAAAATATATATTTACAATGGAAAAAAATAGATATATAAATTTATAAAAGTAACAGGAACTTTTAGGTTCGCTAATAAAAATATCAAAAACTTTACAAAAAGCGGAACTTTATTTTGTGACTTTACTGTATACAAGTTAAAATGTTAAAGCTAGAAAATGCCGGCAACGAACTAGTTTTGTTGCCGCTAAATCTTGGTGGGGCCTTATCTTGGAATTGCCGCGTCTGCATAATCCTACTTGTGTTCCCCATGATTGTGTTATCATAAATCTTCCACCCTTAGAGGAGAACCCTGGGACTGGCCTCTGGATTTTCTTCCTTGGAGCTCTTCTTCGATGAATTCTTCCTATATTTTCTATATGAATAAATGCAAAATAACAAACAAAATGCAATAAAAATATAAATCAATATAGTCCAAACACTAATATTGTTAAAATGGATTGGATTATCAAAAATATGTTTAACTGTTTGTTTTTGAAAATTTAGAGAGTCTTTTAGAATGGTTAATTGTTCCAAATCAATACTGTTCAATTTAATAGGTTTAAGGTAAATAGGATTTTTACCATTACAGTTTTTAATATTATTTTAAATTCACTTTTTGGCAGTTCGTTACTACGTAAAACTATTTTACCTATTTTAACACTACACTTATTGATTAATTCTAACAAAAACGTTCCTTCTAATGGGACATTGTCTTGTCTGGAGATTCTTTGGGCCACTGTGTTCTGAGTTGAGATGATCATCCCTTTATTTTGATGAATTTTTTGAATTTTTATGTCCACAATGTTGAGAGGGATGGTTTGGCAGTTGCTGAGGTTCTTGGAAAACCTCAACAATGAATCTTCGCAGGAGGCGTCTTCTTCTACTGGAGTTGGTACTGATTCGTAACAGATAAACTCTTGGTTACTAGTTTATTGACATTCTGAGTCAAATGACAAGAAATTTTGCTCGTTTAGGACGAAGCATTTTGAATAATAATTTGGAAAAGGTTGCTTTTAGGCGTAAGTAAAGAGAAAATTTGATATAAATCGTAATTTTCTCTCTCCACAATTGGGATTTCTATGATAAAAATAATTTTATTGTTTGTACTATAACTTTTAATTTGCATTATTTTTTCGAATTTAAGTATATTGTTGGTTCAAATGGTAATTTGTTGTTTAATAAGTTGTTATCGATTAATTTGATATGGTTGATCAAATCTTTAGGATCTATTATCGAATTATGGAAAACATTTATTTTGGAAAATGTGATAGCGGTTTTAATTTGTTCTAGTAAATCGTAAATATTTTGATATAAAATTGATATTTAATTTGTGACTTCTTGAATATAGGCACTTTCAAAAGTTTGTTTATTTTGGATTTGAGAGGTTTCTAAAATGTGTTCTATTTTGTATATTTGAGATTTTAATTTTAGTTGATTGTGAGCTTAATTACTTTTATTAAATATAAAGAATTTTCAACTAAAGTAATTTGTTCATTAATTAAAGATTTCATCTTATTTTGATTTTTCGAAAGATTTTCTATGGCTCTGTCATATTTTTCGGCGTCGTTTTGATCTAAATTTAATTATTGTACCTAAACCATTAAGAAGTTAACGTTTTTCTCTATGGGTTTGTTCAAGTGATTGGTTTAAATGATTAATTTGGGTAATAATTTAATTTTTTAATATGGTTACTATTTGAAATGTAACAAAGATGTCCTCAAAATCTGATTTGGTCTCGTTTTAAAGTTTATTTCTTGTCATCGTTTGTAGGTCGAAAAATTTGTCTTGTAGTGACTTAAATTCGTCTATTACTTTGGACATGTCGAAAATTCTTACAAATAACCAGTAGTCAATTATGTTTTGAGTCTTTCCTAATTTAGGAGTTAAAAGTCCAGGATTCTCGGTAATATTATGGAATGTTGGTTGAGTCAGTTTGCAGTTTGTGAAGTTGATGGTTGCGAGGAACCTGTAACGAAAGGTTTTTTAAGTTCTTTAATGTGAATTATTTCTGGTTTATTATTTTGTTGATTAGTAATTTCGGCCATATTTTTATCTAGTAATTTTGCTAATGTATAAGCTAATCTAGGGTTTATTAAACTTCTACTGCTGCCAGTATCAATTAAAAACTTGCGTTTATTTCTGGTATAAAAATATAAGGTAAATTTGATCTTACTAAATTCAGATTAATTACGTTTCTCTTTGTGTTAGAGCTCCCACGCGAAAATTTGAAACTTGGTTATCAAAAGTATCATAAGACGGACCTTGAGAGGGTTCATGGAAATATGTCAGCTGTGTTGGATTCGTGTTAATGTCTTGTTTTTGATAAGGACTATTATTGTCGTTAGTTGTGTTAAATGTTGAGAAATCATTATTTTCTTGGAAGTGGTATTCACCGTTATTATTTTCATTATTAAATGAATTTTCGAATTGGTTTTCTATTTGATCAGAACTTTGTAAGTAAAGGTTATGATTATGTATACGCGTATTTCCAGATGACGTATCCATTGGCTCTCTGGGCTACTATCTTGAAATTTGACTATTTCGGTTGAAATTAGTCGAATATTGACCAACATTTGGATTGTTGAAATTATTTGAATTTCGATTATTGCAATTATTTGATTGGTTAAACTGGGGCCTCTGAACGAATTGATTTTGATTCTGAAAATTTTAATTTTGGACATTCTGATTATTTTGTCTTGGAAAATTATTAAAGTTTGAATTAAAATTATTAGAATAAAATGATTTTTGTAATGATTGTGGTGGTTGCCTTTGCTGAGGTGGTTTTGAATAGTTATTTCTGTTATTTACAGATCTATAATTTTGAGAATCTGAAAAGTTGTTTTAAGAGCTAAATCATTATAATTTTGAAGTCTAATACGTTTTTCTTCAGGCGAAAAATTTGACGCATTTATTTTAGATACAATTAAACTTCTAGAGTCTTGGCAACGCATACCAAAACGGCATGGGGGTTCATTTTTAAAAGGATGTAAAGCAATCAAGTCTTGTATATGACAATCCAAATTTCTCTGATCACCAAAGCTTGATATTAATAAATTTTTTATATCTATCCAAACAGTTAATTCACTACTACTATTAAACTCAAAGCTCTGCCGGTTAATTTGCCAATAATAGCTCTTAAAATATAAGCATTAATTGTAGCTGCATTATTTTGCCGATCAGAAAATTGTCCAATCTTTCACAAGCATCTAAAAATACAGTTAATATATGGGGATTCCCATCAAAATTTGGAATACATATAATTGCAAAAGTGGATAATTAGTTTTATCTGCCATATTCGAATCTGAACTTTCTGAATCTGAACTTTCGGAATCTGATTCTTTTACAGGAGGTAAATTATCCAAATTTAATGATGAATCTGTCCTAAGTACTATTAAAAATATTCACTAATTCGTCTATCTCAGGCAAAATATAATAAATTCTCTCAATGTTTTATTTTATCCCAAAAATGAAAATTAAGAATCACTAATATATTCAACTCAAGAAATAAAATGTGTAAAATAAAAGGAAAGCAAAATTTCTAATGCAATTCCTAAGATTATTTTCATCATATCAACAGGGTCAAGCGATGCTGTCTGTTCTCCCTGATTTTCTTAAAACTAGCTGGATTTGGCGATGTGGTCCTCGTCCAGGTATCTCCAAACTTCGGCAATGTTGGTCCTATGCTTTGCTGTACACTTCTTGTTCAGTTTATTTTACCAATTTTCGCCACTTTTAGGTTCGCTAATAAAAATTGTTTTTTTTTTTTTTAAATAATTTCATAGCTTCGATAACTTTTTCTTGAACTGATATTATTGCTTTAGTTGTATTCTTTCCTCTTAAATTTGCCAATACCAAAATTAAAGGGACAAGTGAATGAAGGAGTTATGTAACAGATATAAAAAAAATCTTGTTTAATAAATTAAAAGTGCATGTATGTCTTACAGTGTCTAATTAGTTTCTCTTAGTTATATATTATGTTGATGGACGGGAAAAGTATACAAATACCAAAAATTTAGACATTGGTATTTGGTTTAATAAAGTACAAGTTTTGTTCGCCCTCATTTATGGGCCACCCTATTTATTTAACAATAATTTTAAAATATGGTCGTCAACATTAGGTACTAATTGAAAACCCTGTTTATGTGATATTAAAAACGATTCTAGAGATCTCTGAATTCTTAGCTGCACCTGCAAGAAATATGAAACCCTAGAAATTATTATGCTTATCCACCTAGTTCCACGAGTGTTAAAAACTTTATCTTTAGTTTTTAAAAGAG